AGAGAGAGAGAGAGGGAGAGAGAGAGAGAAAGAAAGAGAGAGAGAAAGACAAATAGATAAAAAGAAAAAGAGAGAATAAGAGAGGGTGAGGGAGGGAGGGAGAGGAAGATAGATAGATAGCAGACAAACAAAACAAACAAACAAACACACACACACAGACAGGCAGAAACGGGAGCGAGTCGAGTGCGCGGCAGGTGCACAAACCATGCATACCTGTGGTGAGGTCAGTGAGAGAGTTAGACAGGGGCAGCTTCTTCATGTTATACTCAGGGGCGGACAGGCGGTTGTGCGGGTTCTCCGAGGCCTTGGCCAAGTCGTACGCGAGCACTCGGGAGTCGTCACAGGCGTAGCGCTTGTCCATGGTGTTGTGAGTGGTCCGGTGGCGAGCCATCTCCTCCTCGATTCGCAGCTGCTCCATGCCGTTGGTCTGTGGGGGTGGAAGGAGACAGGTATTATTATTATTATTATTATTATTATTTTCATTATTATAATTATTATCATTTATACAACGGTTACAGGATAGATTATATAATATTGTTATTTATACAAAGGGTCAGTGTGTGTGTAAGAAGTATTTCCGTCGTTGGTCCCAACAGAATTTTGAATTTTATGAAGGCCATTGGCCTTTATGGCAAATTATAAAGTGAATTGTACTATTTAAAATTTTTGTTTTCTAGGAAAATTGTTTTAGATTGAAAATATATGTATATTTACACTGATTTTTAAACATTTTAACATGTTAAGACCTAACTACTGACCCGAGGCAGCCGTACAGTAAACTGTAGTGAACAAGACTAACTTGTGTTTCGCGCGCTCATAAGACCTTATGCAGTTGCGAGCACCGTAAAACCCCATACTAAACTACTAAAAAAACGAAGTATTTCCTCCTCTTCCCCAGAATAAAGATATACGTGCATGTAGTTGTTTCATGACAAACAAAACAACAACAACAATAAAAAACAACGACGGCGACGACAATAAAACTACTACTACTACTACTACTAGATACTACTAATGAAAAAAAAGCAATAATAAATAACAATAACAATAATAAGAATAACAGTAAAAAATAATACCAACAACAAGTATACTTCTATCTATCTAGACTTCTAGCCTACAGAGCCGGTGTTGGAAGTATCGTATACCTCTAGGATGGACTCCTTGAGATCCTCCACGAACTTCTGCCTGTCATGGTCGTTGCGGGCGTTGAACGTGATGAGCGGTTTGCCGTCTATGTTGTTGGTCAACTGGATACCATACTGGTAATCTGTGGAGGAAATAAAGTATCACAGTTTTTAAAAAAGGAGGAAAAAGGAGGAAAAAGGAGGAAAAAGGAGGAAAAAGGAGGAAAAAGGAAAAAGAACCACCCCCCCCCCCCACACACACACAAAAATGACAAAAAATCCCGAAGAGTTCAACACTTTGCGAAAAGAGCTAACAGGTACTGATACTGATACATGTACCCATAAAATCATACGGTAACGAGACCCACACACCGTTAGAGCTACCTCACTTTCTGGTTCAACAACATGTGTAAAATAAAACCTACTTCGTACAAGCAGGTACAAACATTTTCTATTCTTCGTATCAAAGGAAAAGCGCATTGGGGTATCATCACGAAGACAAAGGAGAAAATCTAGAAAAGTTTGGCTTTGAAAAACATTTTTTTTTTTCATTCCTGACCTTATATTTCTCCACAAGATACGCGTGGAATCCACCTTAACCCTACTATTAGATTAGTTGATTTAAAATTTATTATTATTAATTTTTTTTTTAAATTTTTTTTTTTTGGGGGGGGAGAGACTTGGTTAGAATCCTTCATACCGAGAGTTCAGCTGCTGCCTACTTCACAAGGAGAGGATGGCACCCCCAGATAAAACGATAAGAAATGTCGCCACTTTCGCTTCTCTACTCATCTCCCCGTTTCATCTTCATTGCTCAGTGTTATCCGACTTTTCATCACCTAGTCTCTACTGGTCGCATCGTGTTGAGATCAAATAGATTTATTTACACTTCCTGACCCAGTCCCACCATACAGACCATCTATACGGTACTTTCACTCCAACGGTACCGGTGTTTGTGGTGAAGCGACTAGGTGCTACGTGGTCCCACGCAAAAAAACCCACCCCAAAACAACTGAGTTCGATTCCCGTGTGTGTGTGTGTGTGTGTGTGTGTGTGTGTGTGT